TCTGCTAGTGGTTAGAACAAGATGTATCTCTTTGGTTTGTATCATAATTTACATGAATTAAGTGCTTACATGAATCTGTCACAGCACCTTAAATAACAGCAGTGGTAAGACAGTAGTATGTGAAAGTATGCTCAATATCTGGGGCTAGTTCAGAGGATTGCTGTCTCATTGGTGACTTTATAGGAGATGAGGCTAAGTCTTGCATTAAAGAACAGCCAGATCAGCTAACAGGTCAGGCTAACCTGTTAGGCCTTTCTACCTTGGTTGCTTGCAGTAAGTAAGTCATACTATTGAAAGGGCTTGATTGGTGATTTCCAAATATGTTGTTGGCAGTAGGTGACAGCCCTTCTGAAAAACACACAGAAAAGGGTGATGTGAGTAGTTAGGTCAACTGAAAATTGTGTGATCAAGACAGCAGTCAAAGCAACCTCCAGGCACCTCCAACTCCATGTTAAGAGCTGGAACAGCCAAAGGCCTCGAGATAGAGTTGAGCAGCTACGGACATCAGCTCTGAAGTTCACAAATGACCTTGATCAGTCACCCAGTGAGAACAGGACCTTGCAAAGCCAGACTGATTCCCTCCAGTAAAATGTGAATGACATGGTATGAATACCAGTGCTGGCAAAACAAGAATGATGGGTCTTCTGGAAGAAAACCAAGCAGCAAAGTGGGCAGTGTGGCCAGCTGCTTCTGCCTGGCAGGTTTTAATATATTGGACAGTATGTACTTTGGGGAAACTTTAAAAGCAGTATAGTGCTTACAGGCAGCCCTAGGTCAGTGGAAGACGTTATCAAAAGACAGAGAGATGTTCACAGGCATATTTTATAGAATCACAGAATGGTTTGGGTTGGAAGGAACCTTAAAGCTCGTCCAGTTCCAACCCACTGCTGTGGCAGGGGCATTTTCCACTAGACCAGGTTGCTCAAAGCCCTGTCCAACCTGGTATGTGATCTTGTTCACCGAAGGTGGGCCTTAATTGTTTAAGCTGACTAACACAGTAAGTACAAAGTATGAGGTACTAGTTGCTTTTATTGGTCAGTTTGTCACAGTGCAGGAAGAGAAGAGATCCCGAGGAAAGAACAGTGTAAAAGACCCCCATAGATATCTATCTGGCAGCAAGGAGGAAGCTGTGAGCCTACTGAAGACAATGCCCTGAGCTCTGGTAGAGGGTCCAAGGGAAAAAGAGGTTAGTGACCAAAATAGACCAGAATGGCTGGGATTTTAAAGTGCACAAAGTCAAAGCTTGTGATGGAGCATGGTGAGCAGATTGAGCATAGGAGTGAGAGCCTTTAGGGCAAATAGTGTATGTTGTTGAAACGAAAGACTTGGCCATTCTGTCTCTGCTCTAGGCAAACTTGGTTTGAGATGGGATTGCCTTTCAAGGTTCACTTTGGTGTGTCATAATTTTATTGATACAGAAAGCTTTACCATGAGTTCTAATGTAACAGCAGTCCTGTGCCACCAGCTGTTGTGTCTTGGGTATCACTTACTTCTGTTCTGTTGGCAATGTGCATCCCTTTGCTTGTCTGACACTCCTTTTGTTGCCTGGATACCTTTACCTTTTGCTACTTGCATAGAGTTAAATGATTCTGCCTGTCTGCCTGTCCAATGCTTTAATTGTTCATTTCTGGAGAAAGCATCAGCTAGCAGCAGTTCTCTGACCATTAGAGAGCACTCTATAGTGTCACATGTGAGAGAATACAAAATTTATAGTAAAGCAAGATTGTTTTCCCTTTTCTTCCTCCTCCATTTTTCTGTTGTATTTAAATAGAGAGCTTTTTAGGATGCCACTCATAACTTTAGTGTGCTCCTGAGCTGCTCTGGGTAGCAAAGCTGATCTGCTGGCTTTCTTCTCACTATAGTGAGAGGTGATTTCAGTAGCATGGTGAAGGGGAGATTGCACAGGCAGCAATTGGGTGTCTCTGTTGAGGAAGAGATGTGCAGCAACCTTGTGTGGTTTGTGTTTGGTAATAAAAATCTGCACATCAGGGGAACTGAATAAAAGTTTAATTCTAGTTTGTCAGGATTTTCCTTTAAAACACCTTGTCCTTACAATGCCTATCACTACATAAATAACAGTAAATAAATATTGCTCTTGACAGTGAAAACCTGAAAGACGCTATGCTTTTTAGACATGGCAATATTTGCAGTCTAACTAGGATGTTAGCCCTGTCAGCCATAAATGTATGGATTTAATTCTAAACTGCTGTCTCCTTTGGTGACAATGACCCAACATTGCATTTGTTCCTGGCCTGATAAATAATTCAGCCTTGGTTTTAGTATGTATGTCTTCTCTTTTTGCTGATGTTCTTTTGGGTGTCTCGGACATAATTTTCCCTTTTTCCCAAATTTATCCCTACTTACTTGCTTTAGCACACTACTAAGCAAGTCTGGTTTTGAGTCTGTTTTTTAATAACTTTTGATTTGTAAAGTCGACAGGTTGAAGGTCCTTATTGACTCTGATGTCAGTGGCAATTAGGTACATAAATATCTCCATGGAACTGAGCCATAATGCCAGCAGAACTGTTTCATCTGTAAAGACAATAGTCCTCTTCAAAAGAGGACTGGATAATAACTGAAATTGCATCATTAAAAAAAATTATCACCAAAATTACTAGTATAACCTTGTTTTGATCTTAAAATACTAGTTGGAAGGAACTTCAAAATGTTTAAGGTAAGCATAATAAACTGTGATGAATATTCTTATATTTCTTCGTAGAGAAAAATGTACTTTTATGAACTTACTGCACTTCTTTGCCAAACTTGATGCAAAACCACAAATGTACAATTCCGTCAGTAATTCTGGAGAAAACAGGAGAGCTTTATCACCAACTGTTAGACCAGAAGAGAAGAATATGTGGTGCTTTTAATAGTGGCAAGCTGACTGTGGTGTACCAACAAGTTATGTTCCAGGACTAGTGGTAGTTAGTGTGTGTAACAATCTGGAAGGGGAAGCAAAACTGGGAGGTTATTTTTTTGAATGTGACAAATTTACTAACTTACTGTGTTGCCTTCATACAGTGAGCTTATATCCATGTTATTATACATCTGAGAATCTAGAGTGTAAAGAAAAATAAAGGTGATAACCTTTGTACTGGCAAAACGATGGCACGTGTTAACCAGTAGCAGGCTGCAAAGTATCTTTATTTAAAAATAATCAGGCTCATAAGTGGAAAATGTATGGTAGGTGATGTAACCTTAGAGGAATTATCTGTAACTACAGAATAATTAAGTTTAAAGAGGATTTTTAGTGGTCTCTGATACTGAATGTTCAGAATCTAGGCCAGAATTAACTAAGATGTAAGTTCACTAGTTGGTTTTACTGTAGACCTAGTGTGCTTTCACAGAGGTAACTTCCTTCTCTGCAGCAGAAGTATTTCCTCACTTTGGTTTTTAGTGATGTTAAGTTCTATGAGGATGGCATATATGCCTTATTTTTCTAAATGAATGCTGCAATAAACACAGGACTATGTTTTGACTGTTCTTCTAAAAAATTATCCCAATATATAATACTGTTTTCAGGCTGTAAGATGAAAAGCATGAGTAGCATATAATCCTAAAATGGCATACATGCAGATAATTCATAAACCAATGAATTACTAAGTTCAGACAACCTCTTCTAAAAATAGTGTTGGTGTGCGTAGTGTATTTCAGCATAAAGTCAGTACACTGACAGCAATGGGCATGGGATGTAAAGCAGAACCTCAACCTGCAGTCAGCCATGTAGAACTGCTTAAAGCCATGAATGTTTTTCTCCTTAAGGAACTAGAATTGGGTTTTGATTTTCTTTGGTTTTGTTTGGGTTTGTTTGTTTGATTGGTTTTGTTTTGTTTTTTTTTTTTTGGTGGGTTTTTGTTTGTTTGCTTGTTTGGGTGGGGTTTTTTTGTTTTCCTTATTTTCCCAAGAAGCAAAGCATACTTGCCAAGTAAGTGATAATGTGTGATGGTAGGATGGACAAGGGATAACACTGAGTCAGGAACAGCATACTCTCAGTGGAGGACCGAAAGATTACTTCCAGTTTACCTTTTAGCATTCAGGAAGTTCTTGGCTATATTGTATCTCCTTCTGGCTTTTGTTTCAGGTAATGTAGACAGCAGATGACTACCTAATGATCTTCTCTTTGCAGGGGAAGTGATTGTTTGTGACTTTGACTCTCTCCAGTCTATACTGTGATTCCTTGAATTGATTGCAAACATGATTCTGATTCACTTTGTTTTGTTTATTGCTGTTTTTCAATGGCAAAATGTCTCAAACCTGCATATTTACAATAAGTTGTCAGTATCTCCTTTCTGTAGCTTATCTATTTATCTGTTGACTAATCCTGTTTGTCTTTTGCAGAAACATTTTCCTGTGTATTACCTGCTTTTTCCTTTGGCATTTTCTTTCAATCTCTCCACTTTCTTTTCCTTAGGAGGTCTGTTAGGAAATTCTGGGTGAGAGGTATTTTCAGTTTTTCTGGTAGCATTTTTTGAGGTGCTTCCCATGCTTATGTAGCAGTTGCTGTCATACCTGTGGCAGTAAATTATTTAAATTTAGATTATTATATTTTATCCACATTCACATACCTGGGCCAAAGTATTTACGCTGCAGGCAATGAAGGAAGGGACCTGAATAACTGGAAAGTGTCCCCTTTCTGTTTTCTGTAATAGGACAGTTTTAGGACACTAACTAGTGTGTGTTTGTATGTGTCTAGCTATTGCTAGAAGTTTCGCTGTTGCCTAGAATACTATGAAAATGTGTCTTCGTATTGCTTGTTTAATGACTGTCAAGTTGCTTCATAATTTTTAGCACAGTTGCATCTTAGCACTAGGGGATACCAGGTGTATGTGTGAGTGTGGCCCTGTTGTGTATATTGAAATGATTTTATAGTATTGCCAACTGACATGTTGAAAATGGGAACAGTAATTTAAAAGAATTAAGCACCTAAATAGAAGGTGAAAAGACTCTCTAAAAGCCTTTGTCTTGTAGGTCTAAGTGATGATTTTTCTTTCTGTTTTTAGGTTTTCTCAAATAATGATGAAGCCCTTATTAACAAAAAACTACCCAAAGAACTTCTGTTAAGGTAACTTTATAGTGTGTTAAGGGGTAAAAACATGAGGATCATGCATTGCTTAGATAGCTTACAGGCTATCAAGTGCTATTTATTCTTTTTTAAATCTGTCTTGAAATAAATAGTAACATGCTTCGTTTAGTTCTTGGAATTGTTGAAATTGTTGTCTTTTGGTTAGCCTTGATTTGTTTTAATGTGTTCGAATTATACTATACCATGGAAGATGCAATCTAACAGTGATCTTTTCCTTGCATGTCAGAAAAACTGAAGTAAAATGTCCAAAAGCTTTGGTGTACAGAGTAGTCAACTCTTCCAAGCTACACAACGTTTTTATCTGTCTGAAGAGCCTGTAATCCTTTCTGTAATGTAATTCACAGTCTTCATGTCATGAATTTTGTTATAACAAAATGTAAGTTCAAGTTCAAAGCTTTCAAAAAGTCACTGCAGAAAAGTGCTGCCTGTTAGCATTACTCTAAGTTAGAACCAGCAAGAGAACTTTCCTTACTGTAGTAATTTGGTTAGTCATAAATTTCATCAGCTTGCACTGTGAATAGCTCACCTTTGCAGGAGTTAGCTATGACATCAAGATCAGTTAAGTTCTGCCCATGGTTGAGATGCTAAAGGATGTCTTTGCACTCTCATCTTTTTTAAGTTGATTTCAGGCAAAGTGTAAACTGCCATATATGATGATACGGCTCAACTGGATGTGATCACATCAATGCTGGAACTGAAACAGCTTAGTGGTGTCTTCTGTGTCTGCCTATAGAGTTTGTTACAGCCTCTCTTGGAGGGAAGAAAAAAGGAAAGTGTTCACTTGTAATGCTGTAATTACAGATTTAAGTGATGGTGTTAACAAAACTGAGCTGACGATTTCTTCTTAATACAATAAGATGTTTGGGTTACCTTGTATATATGTCATTGCATCCAGTCTGAAGTGGAAGAATGTCTCAAATAATGGTAGTTTGCATTTTAGACTCATAGAAAGGGTTGGAAAGTACCTTAAGATCATCCAGTTCCAACCCCCTGCCATGGGCAGGGATACCTCACACTAAACCTTGTCACTCAAGACTCCATCCGACCTGTCCTTGAATGCTGCCAGGGATGGAGCATTCACGACTTGCTTGGGCAACCCATTCCAGTGCCTCCCCACCCTCACAGTAAGGAACTTCTTCCTTATATCTAACCTAAACTTCCCGTTTCAGTTTGAACCCATTACCCCTTGTCCTGTCACCCCAAGCTCTGCGCTGCAGCCTCTGCTCTCATCAGTTCTGTCTGGGTGCTGACACTGGCCAATACTGGGGCAGCCAGAGCAGAGCTCCCAGGCTGGGCCCTGCTCCTGGGAATTGTGAGAATTCCTGCATTTAGCTTCTAGGTGTCAATTTTCTGAATTGTGTATTCCAACACCAAATTTGGTAAGTTCTTTAAAACATTAAATAGGGAGTAGCTTAATTGTTTCATTGAGGTGTATGTTTATTCCAACATACGCATTTTAAAGGACATTTTAAAGAACTCAGGGGAAAAAAATGTGCAAGAAATTGGACAATACCAGTGACTTAGCTGTTAGCTCTTGAATACAAGATAACTTCTTGCAGAACAACTTGGGGGCTATATAGGCTTACCTTGGATTAGACCAACTGAGGAAGTGATTCTGCGAAGGCACTGCCACTGCACTATTGTGCAGTGTCTAAAGAAACCCTTTGCATGGTTGAAGCACTTCCTGATGTTGGAATGACAAAATAAAATAGCCCAGACCAAGCATACACAGAAGTGATTTAGCCAACCATCTAGTTCTTGCGTGTGTATGTCCTCTTTGCAGTTGCATAGTGATCTTCCAAAGTAGATCAAAGCTGTAGCCAGAATAGATGACTGAGAAATTCAACTGGGAGAGTCAGCTTTCTTAGTAAAGACCATGATGATCTCATGCTGAATGCTGGGACTCGAGTCATGGTCCGCCCATAGCCAGGGAGAAATAAAGTCCACATTTTATAACACGCACAGTATTGACTTGGACTGTCAGGGCTTTGGAACTGCGAGGAAGGGGATGGGTGGGAGAGGTGCTCTGTAAAATTCCCTTTTGAAGTTGTACTGCTGCAGAGACAAACTCAGAAGGCCAAAGGCAGAGTATGTTGGAGGGTAGTATGATGGGACATGGGGTCAGGGTTCTCATCCCTGCGGAGTATAGATAGCTGGGGAAATTTAGGGGCACGAACCTGGCTGTCTACAGGATTATCAGTGTGGAATTTGGTTTATGCTTCTGCACATAAATGCTTTTGCAAGACAGAGCCTGAAAGTCTTTCAACACCTAACAGTTTATGCTTGTGCTACAATATGTTTAAAATTGTCTTGCCATATGGTTGTGACAAGAGGGATTAAATATTGCTGCACTGAGTGTAATTAATTTTGTAATTATTTTTGCTGTATTAACGATGCAGTCTACCTTTTAATTAAAAGGAGAGGAAGCCAGTTGCAGTAGAAACATTTTGCTCATAGTGCTGGAACTGAATAGTAAATACACTATTGAAAGTGTCATAAAATACATAGTTTGTTGTTTGCTTATATCAGATATGTATGAAAACCATTGGAAAACACTACAGCTCTTAAAAAACAAAAATCCCTAAAAAAGCCCCAAACAACAGTTTGACATGTGGAAAAAGAGTGGGTAATATTTTGTTACAAATATCTGGAAATGGAAACACAATTTCTTGTATTGCATTCTTATTTACATCAAGTATTTAAACATCTGTAATCTGACTATAACAAGCAATCCAGATTTTCTCTAAAATTGAGAAACCTTTCTCTGATAGTAGACTTAGAAAATACCACAACTGTAAAATTTTACTCATTTGTTGATACAGTTACATACTCTAAAATTGAACAAAATAAGCCCTTGGTCTTATACTGCAGTTCTTGCTCTTTTTTACTATTCTTATTATTTATCTAACAACCAGAATTAGATTGCAAGGTTTTCAAGGCAGGGTCATGTCTCTTGCACATTTTCTACAGATTTTCTACTATGCTTATAAGTAAACGACTGAAACCCTCAGCTTCTCAGGCAAAAAGCTCATTAGGATACAAACCCAGAGGTTATTGTTCCTTCTCAATGAGACCCAGATGACTGTGCAGAGGAGGAAAAGGATATATGACTAATATGGACAGCAGTGGTTTTGAAGAAGACCCTCATTTGGAGGCAGCAGTTATGCTTTGAGTTAGGTAGGGTAGCTTGAGTGGAGAGAGGGAGGAGATAATTTGTTACTTTTTCTGGTTTATGTGCATTTATTTTTATTTGTAATATTGGAGTAATTTTATTTTTGTGGAAGAAACAGGCTGCTTCTAAAAGCTTTGATTTGTGGTACTGTTCAAGCTAAAAGAAAAATGATCACTGTTAGCTGTTGCAATGCTGTTAATTTGCCAGTTGGCAAGGAATACTCTTTCCCCTCTGCTCTTATATATTGCTAGAAGTGAAAGGTTGAATAAATGCTAAATTGTATGATGTTTGAGTAAGAATCCTGCAACGATGTTATAAATCATGTCATTTAAATAATGTTTTCAGGCAATTATAGTTTTTTCTTTGCTTAGCCTGTATGTTTATGGAAAAGCATCGTATGATTATACAGGACATTAGTTGTGGATTTGCACTGGTGTCTAAACTTAATAAACCCGTATCTATTTCAGAAGGATCAGAAATAAAGTCAGAGAGAGACTGTTGCAATTTTAACAGTAACAGCTGTTCCAGTAAGATGTCACAGCCTTGAAGATGAATAGTTTTCTTTTTTCTTTTTTTTTTTTCCCCTTGTAAATTGCTGGGAAAAACAAATGGATTTTTCAAGTTACCATATGAGTCTGAAAAGCATTGGGAACAAAAAAAAATGAAGTGACTGTAATATTAGAATGTTCTGACTTTCCAACAGCTTCCAAAAACCTTTTCCTTCTTTTTTTTTTTTTTATTTTATGCTTGATGAGAAGTTTGAAAACATACATGTTTGAATTCAAACGTACAGGTTTGAAAATGGGGTTATAGCCAGTACTTCTGGCATGTAGAAGGACAGATAACACTTGTTCATTTGTGTTTTAACTGCTAACCTTCTGTGCTACAAGATTTTGCACAAAAATGGCAAGCTTCAGAAACAAAGAAACAAAGATGTTTATTCCTTTTGACCCCTTGAACCATGTTATGTTCCCTTCTGCCTTCAAAGTACCAACTTCATAGGCTGGACCACAAATGCAGAAGCTGTTCTGAGTTCTGCTATAAACCATATGTACTTGGTGCATGTACTGGAATAATAATAGGTCATAGTAGTCATACTATGGGTCATAATAGTCATCAGAGTAAAAATTTGATTGCTTAATCAGATTTCAGAGAGGATAAGCAAAGTTTTGGGCCTTAAATTAGGAGAAGAACCCAGGACTTGTGTTCCAGTAGCAGCTTTTCTTGTACAGAAGAATATGCAGCATGTGAGTCAGCTAATTAAGTATTATATATGTTTTCATGTTTCTGTTCTTTGTTTTTAGTACTGCACACTGCTTTTTGCTCAGCTTTTAGCCTGTTACTACTGTAGGGAAGAAATTGCCAGAAACTTAAAATTTGTGTATTCAAACATAGTATTTGGTATGTTTGAAGTGATGCTTTACCATCTGTGTGCTTAACTGTGGGGGAAATAGAAAAAATATAGCAAAGGTTACAAGAAATTGTTATAATGCCATTGGTATTTCTTAGCTAGATGTGGTAGGTACTTAAATGGCCCACAGTTGATGTAAAATATCTTACCATAGGAAGTACCAACTGGTGAGTCAAAGAACTGAAAAATACAAACTTGTATATGGATCTACTCTTAGTTGGTAAGAATTCTGTAAGCAGACAAACAATGTGTGTATTTTGAGGTGGGGGAGAAATCTGTCATCTCAAACATAGAATCACAGAATCATTGATATTCTTAGGTTGGAAGAAACCTGTAAAATCAAGTCCAACTGTTAACCCGGCACTGCCAAGTCTACCACTAAACCATGTCCTGAATCGTTGCACACACATAATTAATTTTCCCCACTTCAAGGGTTTGTATAATTAAATGCCTCTTTAAAGGCTTCTATAGTAGTCTATATGAATGCAGTTTATGTACTCATGTCAATTTGATTGTTTCTGATACTGTAATTGCTTGGCAGACTTGCACATCTGTGTACAGCTTTGTTGATACTAATTTTTTTAATGCTGCATGTGCTTCTGATGTCTACATTTAAAGAAGCATACTGGAAAAATGAAGAATGTGCAGAGAAAATGAGATTCAAAGAACTAAAGTACAAAGTCTGTCAACAAGAAGCATTAAAGATGACATGATAAGTGCTTTAAAACTCGGTGTGGGGAAAGTACTAACTGCTAATGTACTCTAATTCGGTGAAGAAAAATAGAAAAAAGCATTAAAGCTGCAAGTCAGACATTCACCTTGGAAATAACACAAATGTAACAGCGTAATTAAGCAGTGGAACAAACTATCAGAGAAGGTGGTGATTTTCCATTTCTTGAAGGCTTTCAAATCAAGAATAGATCCTTTTATGGATGTTAGGCTTTAGTAAAATTCATCCTTACCATAAGGGAGTTGAAGAACTGTGCGCTTGTGCTGCCCATTATGTCTTTGGCATGAAGCTTATGTGTACTGCAGGTACTGTTAACATTGAAAGACCTCCAAGGCCAAACTCATGTGTCCAGACTGGTATGTGTCTAGGGATGGAAAGTCTTGAAGAGCTCTGCTTGGTTGTAAGGGGATTCGCGTTCTTGAACTTCATATAGGATAATTATGGAGAATTGAATAGCCTGGATACTGGCAATCAGAATAGATGATCCTAAACTTTCCTGTGGATCTATTAACTTAATTTCCAGTTTCCCCATACTTCATGTCAAAGGCTTAAGTGGAAATTAATCCTCCTGCTGGCTGTATTAGCTTCCATCTGCATAGCTATGGTCATAGAGGACAGAAGTGCCATACAACCATCAGCTGTCTGTCTTGGTAGTTTTTTCCACTTTTTAAAATTACAAGTGCCTGCTGACATTATTCTTCACCCTTAAGTGCCAGACACTGTCAGTGTCTAATGCTAACAGATGACTGATGATGCCAGTGTTGCCATCTCCATCTCAGTTTTTTGGTTGCCTTTGAAGTCTCTTAAAGACTTCAAAGTCTTTAAAAGACTTTAAATTACTTTAAACCTTACAGTCTTGTGCCTTGTTGGCTAATTTTCCTGACTGGTAAGTATTTCCTAGTAGTTCTGTGTGACTGCAGTAGAGAAGCAAGTGTGTTTTAGTGGTGCATATGTAAGCCTGTACTATAGAAGGTAAACAGAAAAGTATGGGGAAGAAATGCTTTCAAGCAAGTTGGCAAAATGACTCTTTGGAATTTACTGGCATCTCTTACCTATCCTAGTATTTAATTCAGTAATGATTCTGATTAGGATGCATTATAATCCAGCAAATATTATTTTGGTGGGGACATTTTGGAGCACCTTGCAAGAAAGTTTCTTCTTTAGAATAAAAATAAAAACTGAGAGCATCATGAATGTTTACACTTACTAAAGTATTTTTCCTTTTAACATAAAATGACCACTTTTTGGTTTTGACTTTTTAAAAAGTCACTTCATACAGAATGGAGCAAAACTAAATACATGTGTTCTGCATTTGGTTTTCATTTACTTTTGATCTTCTAACAGCAATAAACAATCAAACATGAAGACAGACTGCCAGACAACTCAGTCTGGCAGTATGAAATACTTTCTCTTCGACATCTTGCAATTTCTTCTGTTGTTTCATATTTCAGTGTAACTAGATACATCACTTCTAAAGCATGTCATGTTCTTCATTCAGGCAAGAGTATTGTGTCACAATGTGGTTTGTCACAAACTTTCCTTTGTAACAAATAATATAGACCTTTTTTGTGCTTCAGCCTCTGTAAATATGAGATAACCTTCTGATTACACTCATACAGTGGTACTAGGAGGAAGCTTTTACAAACCAAGAAGCTTTAGCAGGTCTCTAGCATCATTGGCGACATTCATCTCCTGCCATTTTCCTTGTGCTGGCAAGTCATGGGTTAGTTGGCAAGTTCATGGTGGGGCATTGTTATAAATGCTGCTCTTACAAGGCTGAGAACACTTTCAGTGTTCATCTGAACAATCCAGCAATTTTGCTGAGCACATTTGTATGTCCTTTTTGCATGAAACGCTGCTAAATTTCTTGGAAATGGTCAGACCTCAGAATGGATGTTCAAATGACAGAAATATATGCTATCAAAAGGAATATTATCAACAGGTTTTATAAATTGTTTCATAGCTTTTGAGAATGTCTTGCCTTCTGTTTTCATGGCTAATAGTTTTTGAAGACAAGGTATTACTCTGCAGTGAAAAAGATAAAGTATTTCCATGTGTTAATGAGTATTGGAATACCAATTATCTAAAGTGATAATAATAAACATCTGGAAGGCTGTTACATGGAAGAAGTGCTTCCATTAACTTCCATTACATTTGCTGACTCTTACCACAGCTAAAACTCACAGCGCTTAAGATGTAGGCATCCATTTTGAGCTCTCACTTGAGATTTCCACTTGGAAAATAGTAATTTTACATTAGTAAATTCAGCATCTTTTACCTGTTGTTTACTCCTCAGTGTTAACATCTCACTAAAAGATGAAATTGTTATTATTACTATTAGTTGTTCTGATAACTGAAAAAATTCATTGGCGAGAAGGTAACAGTGAATCACAGGATTTATATATTTATATATATTATTTATATATTTATATATAGTATTTATATTTATAAGTGCATCACAGTAATGTCTTTCATCTATTTCGTATCTCTCTCTGTAATAGAGAATTATTTTGGAATAGGATTTGTATTTTATGCTTAAGCTATTTTTTTTTCTTCACCGAGAACACCCTTTGAAGCAATTTCATTGTTGTCTGGAAGTGGTATTTAGCAAAATTCATTTTGACAGTGAAAAATTTCTTTCAGAAAACTATTAAGAGTTGGCAGCCTTGAGGAATTGGTTCCATGCTCAGAATAGTAATGCTGAATTTTCAATTGTTTCTTGTTGAGTAAATTAAAAAATAAATAACTGTTAGACTTGGTAGTCACTATGAAAGCCCTTTAGAAGTTTGGGTGATTTTTCTTTTTGTTAGTACTTAGATTCTTGAATTTATCTGTGTTTTTCTCCATTTCTTACTAGTCTTCAACCTCTGAAACCTTCACTTGTATTTGTTTGAGTTATTTCTTTAATTGCAGCCCAGTTAAAGGTCTATAAGCTAGTTTGTCTGAATTAAAAAGAAGCAAAATAATTTATCATTCATTTATGTTTGGGTAGTAAGGAGGGGGAAACAGAAAATAGGTATTTTCAGAAGAAACACCTGCTGGTTCTAATATGTTGGTGGTGACTGTCTTTAGATGATAGATGTGATATTATTCCTTAAGTCTTGAGCAGCAAAATAACTTGATAAAATGCTCATACTGCATTTAACTTGCTTCTTGTGCAACTAGTGCATTTTTATAGAACTACAGAGCTGTGAGTCCATGTGTTAGTCTGACTTTATAATAAAACATTCTAATCGTTGTTCTTTGCCTTTCTTCCTAGAATATTTTCTTTCTTGGACATAGTTACTTTGTGTCGATGCGCACAAGTTTCCAAGGTATGTATTTCTGTTGGGGTTTTTTGTTTTTCTGGGGGATGCTATTCTCTTAGTTATATACAAATCATGGGCTTTGGGGCAATCTGCTTCCTGTCCAAAAATAGCCCCCAAACATTAGTTCTCTCAGTCTATTTGGTTCTTAAAATAAAGGAAGAGTTTTCCATTCAGATGTGGTCTTAGTTGCTATGTACTGAAGTTCTGTTTAAAGGCTATGGAAAAGATAACCTAGTTGTGTATGGTCTATATCTGGAGAAAGGATTAAGCCCAGTTTGGTGTGATGGCACTTGCTTTTTATAAAGCATGTGGCTGCATAGCACTATTTTTCAGATGTATTTTCTGTTTAAAATTCCATGTAGTTCAGTTAATGTGCACCATGTGTCTAGGAAGTACATTCATCACTTGCTTGCCAAGTACAAAAAGGTGTTAAGTAGATGGACTACTAATGGAGGAAAAAGGCAGCAGAAGATACTAGAGAAAGCATGCTAAGTAAGCTTTTATGTTTAGCTTATGTTGATTATTTTTCTTGAATTAAAATGAAGAATAGTCTGTTCCCACATCAAGTGTGTACAATGAAGTGTGTTCTTATATAACATGAATGAACGTGTTTATTTCGTGCTTTTCTTCCCTCTCTTGATGAGGATTGGGTTTTATTTTGTTCAGGGTTTATTGTTTTTTGTTTGTTTTGCTTTGTTTGCTTGTTTTAATGTAGAATTGTGTAACTGTTTAATTCCTACACCCATATCACTGTGACCTGCAAGGTCAGTAAGCTTTGTGCTAACATCAGGTTTTGTTAGAACCTTCGGGTAGAGCCTGCAAAACAGTGGAAGAAAACCAAAGTGATTGAATCAGTTGTATTTTTCTCTCAGGACTACCGGTCGGTTGGATGCAGTATTTTTTTCTTCTGGTCTTGAATGTATTTATGTTTCTCCAGCTTTTTTTGCTTTATTTTACTTTGAGCAACTTTTGCTTCGACAGAGAAGGACAAATTCTCAAGCATGCACATGTAACTTTGCACCTGTAAAGGAAAGCCCTGGTTCTAACAGTGGAAGGTCAGCAGTTTTCTGAAAGGTTTCTGTTTTTCTCAGAATAGTAACTAATGAGGTTGAGGAACTATGGGTTTATTGGGCAGAATCTCACCTGCAGCTACTTTTCTCCATAGAGATTTAGCAAAAGTAACTTATTAGACAGAATTCACTAAAGTTTTTTAAAAATGCAGGGTTAGATCTTTGCTGTATCCATGGATGTACTTTAATTTCTTGCTTTCCTACGTGTTTTACTGGCATAAGTTAGCTTCTGCAGTGTACTCCATTTGGGAGATGTGAGATTTATTTCCACAAATTCAGTGTTTTTAACTAGTTGATATTGTATGACAACTAACATCTACAGTTACAGTTCTTTTAAAAAATTTGACCTGAAATTGTATATTTTGTTATATTTCAGTTGCTGAGAGGAAAGTGAAGGGAGCAGGCGGTGGAGGTAATAAATGAACTGTGTTTGTTTTCTGCAGGCATGGAATGTTTTAGCTTTGGATGGAAGCAATTGGCAAAGAATAGACCTCTTCAACTTTCAAACGGATATAGAGGTTAGTGTCCTTAGTTTTTTTTTCTATTCCTATGGTGATGTTTAAAAGCATAGCCCATTTTGAGTATCACATAGACTGTGCTTGTGGTCACATTTTAAAGGCTGAAGTTCAGGATAGGACTGTGAGGGAGCAAATGGATAATAACTCTGTGTTTATCTTTTTTCACACTGGATGAATGTTTCAGTTTTGGTTGCCAGCTATGTATCACATAATTGGCATATATCATATGCATACAGGGCTCTTGAAACTCAAAAGCTGCTCGTTTCCAGAAAGTATAAATGGTGTGTTTGGATGGAGTGAGATCCTCTGAATCAGTTTCACCATCCAGACACAATTTTGTTGCTGGTCGAGCCACTCTGTGAGGATGCCATCTAGTGCTAAAAGCTCTCTGTACGCTTTCCTGTAGGATTTTGAGATTGGCGCAATAAAATGCTGAACAACTTTTCTTAACCACTTACACACCAGATCAAATCTAGGCATGTATCTGATTATGTTTTATGAATGTTTGCTTTATGAGGTTTGGACCTTGCCTGGAATGCAGGTACATGTGGATTAAAGTTCTTTTCAGCATTTAACAAAATGATTAGGGCAGTCTTGTCTTCTGTAAGAAAAACATATCAGCATTAATGCCATCATAGATGTGTGTAACAAAATAAAATAGGACGTTAGAAAATTAAGACAAAAATCCATGGTGAAATACAGTTCCTAAATTGAGTCTGAACTGGTTTATTATTTGTTGTTTGATACAAATCAAATTTAGAATACAGTAATGAATTTGCTTCTGGGTTTTATGTTATAGTTTCTTAGTTGCATGAATAAAATCCAGATGGATTTCATTTGGTATATATTTTGCCAAGCATGGTTCAAACTGTTCCTAAAGCTTTACAGTAATATATAGCACAAATTTTTTTCACTGCTCTTAAAAAATTATTGCCAACTCCTCTTCTATACTGATGTTAAACATGAGGATCTTGCAGAGGTACGAGAAAGAATTTTGGCATCTGCCTTTAAATGTGCCTACAAAGACTTGGAGCTTTAATGTAATCTTTTCAGTTACTTTTAAAAAAGATTGTGTTTCTCATTTGTTAAGAAATAATGAAGAAAACCCCATGGGTCTGTGGGCCTTCTGTTGGTAGGCCTTTTCTGTGTCTGAAACCTTTCTGCTATTTAGAAACACAGTATTGGATTTTAACGGTTTTGATACATTTGTCTTACGTGGTAACTTTGAGATACTATATTGGTGTTGCCCTTTGAGACACTGTGTTTGTATCATGGGATTCAGGAGAAGGGATGAAATTAAATTATGATCCTTTTTTGCTATAAGAAGCTATAGTGTTTTGGAGCAATTTAGTTCAGTATATTATATTTAAGTATATTTGTAATATAAGCCCCTTATATTTATTCATAAGAGTACATTAAACCAAAGGTTATTACATAAGGTAGTTTTGAACGTGGTACTCACATCTGGTGTCTAAGAACTCTGTCTTTTTCTTCAGCTGTTTTGGTAAGATTTTTTTGTCTATAGATTTAGGGCAGGTAAAAGCTGCTAATTGGATCTAGCAATTTTTTGCTCAGTTTGACATTGTACTGGTTGGTGATGTTTCACATAGCATCAAGCAGCACTTGATCTGAGACTATCAAATAAGGAAAAGTCGGGTTTTGTGAAATCTTTCGTATTGAAGACCTTATGTGGTACAGAGTAAAGAGAGAGGTGGAACTATAAAAAAATGTTTATTTTCTATGGTGTAGATGTGTAAAGATCATCTTGAGATTTAATGTGCTGTAGGATTTTTTGGTACGTGGAACCAAGTGTAAACTGAGGTAATTTGAAAATCTAGGGGTTTAAGTGACATTGAATTATTCAAACAGTTAAACACGTTTCGATGCATTTGACTTTTTAAAAATGCTCTTTGTTGGGGTTTTTTACATGCTTAAAGAAATAAATGGGTTTGGGGAAACTGCTTCTGTTTTCTTTGAATAATGCAATAGGGTTTGGTTTTTTCTGCAATGTAGATTGAACTCTCGTTACCTGTTATTCATTGAATACTATCTGCACAGTGAAGGTATTTGGCCTGTGCTGAGAAAGAATTTTGTCTAATCAGAAAGCCTTAAAAAATCCATAATTTTGTTTGTATAGTGATTTTCAGTTTGTTTTGATGTAAATTCTTCTGAGATACAAGATAAACAATGTTGCTTATGGACTAAGAAATGAGCTCTGATAAGAAAATGTTTTCACATAGTGATAACTAGGACTTTTGGTATCAGAGGTGAACAGTGAGCAAACAAAAATCCATTGACCTCTAACTGTATAAGTATTCCTTCTTAGAAACAAAAAGAAAAGAGAGCAAAGAAAATGAAAGATGTTATTAGCTATTTGGTATCAGTCCTGCTTATTAAATGGTCAGTGTTTCTCTTACCTTACCTCCCTAAAATTAGACACAATGTGATGTCTAGTATTTTTTTGCAGTAACCACCTGCTTTTTGCTATCTTATTTTTCTTAAAAAATGTTAAATAAATATAAAAATGAGTATATTTTTATTGGTGTTTAAATAACATTTTTGCCTAGTGCTACTTTCAGACTGAATATTAGAAGTACTGTGCTATTCTGCTAACCCCTGATTTATAACAAAATTTGCTTTGGGGATGTAAATAAAAAGCATTTTATAGCAAATGTGGGGTCAAGTAGGAGGTTTTGTGTGTAAACTGTGCTTCAGCTTCGAACAAATAACAAGGCCTAAAGCCTGTGATATTCTTTGTCATTCCCAAGTGTTAGGCTCAGACGCCCAAATATATATGATGTTGAAGACTGGCAGGTGGGCTCAGGCAGATCCCTACAGGAGGAACTGTAAAACAGGATGTAGAGAGGCTGCAGTTCAGTGATGTACTAGCCTCAGCACGTCTTTGTGGTTGATTTCAACCGAGATGCTGTAATAGTAACTGTGATCCTTGAGGAATGGGCCTGCCTCCCAGTCAACCTCTAGGGCAGTTCTTCAGGTTCCCTACACATCTGACAAAAAACTTGAAGATGATTTCAACAATCTTAATGGGTAGTTATTGCTGAGACAAAAAGTTGAGTCCTGTGTGATAGACTGAAAAAAGGGAGATGGAACTAAAAATGGCATTGAATGGCACTTCAGTGTGGGTGGAAAGTCTCATCAGGCAACTGTTTTTCTTTAAAGCAGCAGAAGAAATTCAAGGAGGTGTAGTTGTGGTGGGGTAGAGTTGGGGTGGGTGTTCGCTCCCATATTTTTAATTTGGTTAGAATGTTACGTCAGAATAAAACTCAACAAAATCTTCCTTCTATTTTGTTTAAGGGTCGAGTTGTGGAAAATATATCGAAAAGGTGTGGTGGGTTCCTGAGACAACTTAGTCTGAGAGGATGTCTTGGTGTTGGAGACTCCTCCTTAAAGTAAGTAAAGTCCAAGATTGAGACATCACTTATTTCCTAATGTCTGGACCAAAAGCAATTATTGTTACATTTGTTTGGATTTGAGTACTGACTAATGGCCAAAATGGGATACTGAATACTGAGTACCTTAATAGTGACTGAGATTTCCATTTAAGATCAAAGTATAGCTACTATTATTCTCTGAAAATGAACTAAGAAATGAGAACTGTGATCTTCAGAAACATGTCTTTTTATTCATTAGTATTATGTTGATATCATTCCTTTTTCAAGCAGTTAAAATGTTTTCAGACCTGTACTCTTGTGTCCTACAACACTTAATTTCATGACGATTAGTCAGTCAGTTTTTAGTTTATCTCCTAGTGTGGACAAAAGGTGACCCAAGCAATGGGAGGAAGAATAAAGACTGATACAATTTAGTGCATACAAAATCAGGAAAAGCCTTGGATTCTCTTCTGGCTCTAACTTAAGGACAGGCAGGCAACAGGATCATCTCAGGAGTCTCCAAATAGAGACAGTGGCCCTCTTTTGTACAGTATATAAACTGAAAATACAAGCACAAAGATTTTTGTTAAGCAGTGGACATTTAGTGTCTTGTGACCTTTAGATCTTTCTAAAATTTAGAAGTAAGTCTAATTCACTGGGTTTTGTGTCTAGGGTAAATTAATCCAGCAACTAGTTGAGCACTAGGTTGCTTTAGCAACCCAAATAAGCATCTTGGCTTCAGACCCAAAGATTTCCCCTAAGCTTTCCTTGCCTCTAAGCCATCTCCCTGACTGCTTTGTGGTGTCTCCACCTCCAGTTAGTCTTGCTTCCTCAGGGGAAGTGTGTATTATTACCATCTCCCACATTACTGGCAACTGCTGTCAAAAAAGAGGTAGCTTCAACCAGAGTAATGCTCCTCCAAGTTCTCAGAATATTCACACAGACAGTTTTTGTGTCCTCAGTAGGGGAGGCAATACCAGAAGTGGAGGAGAGGGGAGAGGCAGGATCTGAGAGAGGTAACAGCTACCGTGAGGAGGAGGTAGCAGGAAGTCAACGAGAAGGGTGTAGGAAGAAAGAGTCAGGACAGTAGGTAACAGATTTCCTCCCAGTAACTCCATTTTCATATTAGGTTTAGGCTCCTAATTGTACTTTCAAGGGTACTAAGGCTAGAAGGCTGCAGTGAGGGTTGTGAATAGGACCAGATAATCCTGAGTTCATGTAGTAATGGCATTTGAGAAGGTGGGGAGGGCTGGAGCTGGGATGTTTTGAAAAATGGTGTACTCAGTGAACAGATACTTAGAATAAGCATACAGCAGTTCAGTGTGTAGCGTGTGTACATTGTTGGGATGAGAGAGCTAGTCATGCCAGCAGGTATTAGCTGAGACTGGCTACCAGAGTGTTACCAGCTTTCACACGTACGTCTGTGACAACTAACTGGTGCAGGTGGTAGTGTCTAAGGCACTTCAGAAAAGAAGATGGTTCACCTCTGAAATAAAAGCAGGTTATATTGAAATTAACGAATGATAAATGCATCAGCTTTAAGACTTTCAAAACATTAGCAGGAGAAAGGTGGCATTAATTTTCAGATACTTACTCTAAAAGTGACTTTTTCTATGAGCCTTCTCGTGGTGTTTCCAGATCCGTTAGTTTTGTGGGTGATATTAATTTCTTTCTTTGTCCTACTTCTACATCAAATTTTATTTAAAAATACCCAATCATGGAAGTAGGTATTGGCCGTGTAAATACTGGATGTTTGTGGCAGCTCTCTCAGGACATGCCTCATGCCTGAATCTTGGAAGCAAAGTTTGCTGTTTCTTCAGTGCAGCATCTTCCCAAGTGATGTGTACAGTGTCTCAATTGTAAATCTCCCTCCAGTACATGGATTTTGGAATAGCTGTTTTGAGAATTCAAGTGGAAACTCTCACAAATATAAGTGCTTGCTGGTTTTTTTTTTTCCATTGTTTCCAACCCACACTGGAGAGCCAGGAAGTTGTTACCAGCTGAGTGTGTAGTTGGATCTGTTAGCCACGGCAGGCCTCCAGACAAAACTGTTTTTGTGTGTTTCCTCCACCCCTGCCAACAAAATCCATGCAGTTGGAGAAAACATGGGCATAAAACCAGTGTTCTGAAATGCAACGCAGCTGTAAATATTACTCTGCAGATGAAAAGAAAGTTTGTGTGTTTCTCCTGGGTAATTAGTATAATGATACATACAGGCTTTTAGCAGTATAATAGCTCCAATCATCCTTATAGTTCATACCCAGTAGTGCACACAGATGGATTTTAATTTTTAAGATGATAAATAACTAATTTGCAGTCCACAGTGCTTTCCACTGGTAGTTCGACAGGCTTAGGTCCCACTTCTGCATAGTATGTTACATTCCTTTTCATTTAATGTGGGAGCAAGCTCCTACAAAGACTTCAGTAATGAGATGTGCAAAAACTCTTCCCAGCAGCTTAATATTTAACTGATGTGATATTTAAACCTTTCTGTTTATGCCCTTAATGCTTTTAGTTAAGGCATTTGAAGCAAATCAGTTCTGGCTTATATATGACAAACACCTTGCTCAAGTGGTAGTTGAGAGATGGACAACACTTATTTCAGAAGTTATCTAAGTCAGATACTTATATTAACTAAAGCAAAAAGCAAGAGGCAGACATATGAGAGGTGTGCTTTGTAATTACTCTGTGGCTTGAAGATTAAGCTTTTTGACTGAGGTGGAAGGCAGTAGGGGACATGAGCGCGCTCTAGTGACTGTATTACAACTTGTGAGTTATATATTAACTCCAGCTTCTTGTTGCTGTTTTAGGACCTTTGCACAGAACTGTAGAAACATCGAACACTTAAATCTAAATGGGTGCACAAAAATCACTGACAGGTAAGTCAAAGTGGTTTTCTGTTTGATGGGAAAATTTGGAAGAAGAAGTAGCTGAAGGTATTTTTAGTGTGTCTGCTGTTTTGCAGCACGTGTTACAGTCTTAGCAGATTCTGTTCCAAGCTGAAACATCTGGATCTGACATCTTGTGTAGCCATCACAAACAGCTCTTTGAAAGGCTTAAGGTAAGACAAGTCAGTGTTTTGTATTAAAGAAAAGCATTTAAAGAGCTGTTCAACATTTAATGAAGTTAAAAAAAATCACTGCTGAACCTTAATAGTATGTATCAGCAGTGACCATATTCTATATCTAGGGCTTCTGGGGTGTAGACTGCAATGTTTGTGTGTGGTCTTTTCTCATGACTTTTCTGTGGAGGCCTGGCGCAGTCCACTGGCTATCATTAATTCCTAACAGTGTGTTTAATTTGGGTTTCCCACTGTTATGACTATTTGAAGGCTGGATTTAACTTTATGTATTTTTTTAATTCTCCCAGTGAGGGTTGCAGAAATCTGGAACATTTGAATCTTTCCTGGTGTGATCAGATTACGAAGGATGGTATTGAAGCACTGGTGAAAGGGTGTAGTGGACTAAAAGCTCTATTTCTTAGAGGTTGCACACAGGTACATAACTGCTTGGGTGATCCTTTAGGAATAAAATTTTATTTTGGGTTTTTGAAATCTCCATGAATTAAAAAATATAATTTTTGTTACAGTCTTTTGTTCAATGTTACAAAATGTGTATGTTCTTTGGGCTGCTTTGCTGTGCTTTTAATTTCTTGTTTCTTTTCCTATGTCCTGTTTACTTGCTGAACAAAGTTAGAAGATGAAGCATTGAAACACATTCAAAATCACTGTCATGAACTGGTGATCCTGAATTTGCAATCCTGTACGGTATGTATTTGGAGCTTCAAAAGATACATTCTCTAAGAATCATTAACCATTTTTGAATGATAATGAATTGGTCTGCTTCACACTTGAATAACTCAAATAGTATATTTCTGCACTTTACAGAATTCTGTGTGGAAATCTTAATCTTGGAGATCTTAAATGAGCTGTCTTTTTCTACAGCCAAGTGTAGATTTGGAGTAATGGGTTAGGGTTTTTCCCCTTCATTATGTCTTTTAACAAGCTCCAGAGTAAGGATTAACTGCATTCATTTAAATCTCATGAACTGTGTGTATGCTAAACCATGCGGTTTCACAGATGTAAATCTTGTTCTCCCATCCATTAAGGTCAAGCATTTTGGTCTGTTCATAATTTTAGGGTTTCTAATGTAACAGATGACATATTGTGGGCTATGTAATTGAGAGTAAAATGTATTGGCATCAACTGAAGATTATTCAGAACCATCTATGTATCAAGGGAAGGGTATGCTTTCTCAATGGAAGAACACATGCTTTCTATGGCTTAGAAGCATGCTTCCAGAAGCAGCTAGGGCCTTTATGATTAAAGGTCTAGCACTGATATTTACACAGCAGATCTCCTTGTGCTTTAGATGATCCAGACTTTAATTCTAGTGGCTCTGTTTTGTGGACCTTGTAAAATGCCAGGCCAGCAGCTATGAAATGAACTGATATTAACTGTGGAAAATGCACATCTGATCAATAGGTACATTCTTCAGAGAAAGGTTTTAGAAGATGGGGGCTTGCAGACATTTTTGTGCCTTTTTTTTTTCTTTCCCAAGAGAGATGTAGGCATCGAATGACAAGCAATTTCAGAATGGAAAATTTTTATATATAACTTGAGGATTTTGATCATCTCCAACAGCAGCGTAAAATTTACATAGTCCTTACCTTCAACATAGTTCCTGTTCCCAGTGATAGTGTCAGGAGCATCTCCCAGAAAACCAAGATAGTTCTAGAAAATAATGTTTTTTGGGAGTCACATCCAGAAATACCTGATTGATACTGGACTTCTCTTACCTGTGTATGATGCAGATCCTTCTAGATCCACAAAAGGATGACAAGACTTCTAGCTTTCTGTCTAGAATAATTTCTATTTGACAGAACAAATTGCAAATACAAACTTCTGATACTAAAAAGTGCTGGGTTGGGGGAGGGGGCATAAGGCAATCTCAGATCCTGTTTTCATCTGTGAAAGGTGGTATTTGTGGTAACAGCCTCAAATATGCTCAAGTAGTATTGCTATACCTGGATGTGTGGCTTATAAAAAGAATGTGTATTTTCAGTTCAAAATACAGTAGAGGTCTTTGTTGTTATTGGAAGAATAACGGTAGGCCAGGAAATAAAATAACCTGTTTCACCATGAAGGATCAGTCATTCAGCAGAAAAAGTAAATTCTTGGAGTTAGGAGTGGGAGAATACTTCTTCCAGAATAGAAGACCTGTAAACAAAATAATATTTGCACACACACCCCTCAATAACCCAATTCCTGTTGCTATTTTGTGTGCAGCTGCACTGGGGGTATTTCTTCTAGCTTCTGTGTCCAAATTTAAGAATTACTTCTTTTTTTCCCCAGAATATCTAGTACAAAACAATTTTGCAAAATGAAAACCCCTCTTTTGAGTTAAATCTTTCAGCTCAAGGCAGCTTTTGCTTAGAAAATTATCCAGAGATGAAGGATTTTTACCCTTGGGTGCTACTCCTCCAGTGCAAAATAGGTAGTTAGCTTTACTGCTGTCTAGCTTCAGGTTCTCTTTTGCAGTGTTCCTGAACTTACACTGTCTCTGGAACAAAAGACCTGCACTCTACAAACATATGAGCAAGCTATTTAACACAATGACAATTACAATTAAATATAAATAATTTTTAAAAAGAATGAAAATTATGAAGCAAAAGCATAGTGAAAGGGGAAGCCAACAATGAGTAACTCTCCCTCTGTGCTTCAGACTGCCTTTGAGCAGTACTTGAGATCTGTGGAAAAATACATAGACGAGTAGGAATTGTCTTTTGATTGTTTGCAGTGTTATCAATGAACATGGTTTCATGATAGTATTTTTTGGTTGAAAATCCACAGGTTGCCATGATTATATACAGTGTGATGCTACCAGTTCAGTTAATATGACTTGATTTTTATTCTTAGCTGGTTATTTGATAACGGAGTAATTTCAGCCTTCTTCTGTGTTGCAGCAAATTTCAGATGAAGGCATTGTCAAAATCTGTAGAGGATGCCACAGACTTCAATCACTCTGTGTTTCAGGCTGTAGCAACCTGACAGATGCTTCTCTCACAGCACTTGGTCTAAACTGTCCAAGGTTGAAGTGAGTATGTCACGAGCCTGTTGTGAGTATGTCATGTTCTTACTGGCCTGGTCTAAGAAATTCACTTCTGAAGATAACCAGCTGATACCCACAGGTTTGATTTAGCTTTGTGTTGCTTTGCATTACCTTTGCAATCAAATAGTAAGTTAGAAGTACCAGCTGAATAGAAACTTGAGGGCTGGTCCTCTGTAGCTATCGTATTAATGTAGTCTACTGTATATTGAAAAACAGATTTCATAGATAACAAATAAGACATGATGAACCAAGAAGTTCAGTTCTGTGCTTCTAGCTAAGTATTTTAGGTACTAATTACAAGCCAGAAGAAAAGATATAAAGCCCATTATCATTTTAAGGTAAAAATATCTGTAGTTGTGTCTTATGATGTTTGTACTCTGATGTGGTTTTATGCAGCCATTTGTCTTGCAGAAAAGAAACCCTAAATCATATCTGAATATATTTAAAGACTGTGGTTTTTTAATGTGGTTTTAGTATGCTCTGCAGTATATCCTGGCATTCTTCAATTCTGATACGGAGTGTGCTAAAGTCTGATGTTTATGGCATGTATTTTGAGTAATAAGGGCTTATCAGTTAAAAATAATGTTAACTTTTACATTGGTGTTATTTGTGCTGACATGTAAGTTATAGTGGCATTCTCAGAGGTGGGGTCAGCTTCAGCTTTAATAAGAAAGCTCTGTCATGCAGCAGTTGTAGAGATGTAATGCTTCTTGTGAGGTCTGATTTCACTGTAAATTAAATCAGAAGATTTTTAGATTACACTGAATTGCCATTTCTGACAGGAACGTGCAGGAGTCAGAGTTGTTATACTTCAATCACAGATAAACGCAGGGAAGTGTAGATGATAAAAATTAGGGGAAGCAAGTGTTCAGAGCACAGAGTGTTCCTTCAGCTGATTGAGTGAAGAAGAGCTTTTGCTATTGTAGGAAACCTGTCCTTAAGACAATTCCAGAGTGACAGTCCCTTTCACATAACAGTTCATACTTACTAGAGCTTATGTGTGCCAGTGTTAGGGGCTTAGGAGTCTTCTGACACATTTAATTGTGTTCCTGAAGAAAGCTGTGCTGTTTGTTACTCTGGGTCTCTTCCCATGATTTCTCTCGTTCTCTCAATTCACAGCTCGGATTGGAAATAGGAGTTCTAAAGTGCTATTAGTTGTGCAGTTCTTTCCAGTACAACTGCAGCAGGAACCAGTTTGACTTTGGTAGGTAAACTGTTAGCTCTTGTCTGTGCCACGAGGGGGAAGGCGTCTGCCGTTCTTCTGTCATGAGGAGCAGTGTAAGGAAAGAGAAGGACCCTTTGCAGTGGTTGCTGCAGTGGAGGGAGTGCATGATGGAAGGACAGATAGTACAGCTGTTTACATCTAGACTTTTGGGATCATGCAAGGAAAGTACGTTATAAAAAATTACCTTGCAATGAAAGGGAAATGTAATTTCACACTTGTTCATACCTTCTGAGTATTTTGGTGTTGAGTATGAAAGAAAACTCTGCTGCCTCTGTCAGAAGCTTTTGTTCCTGTTCTTTTGTACTGTGCTACTCTCACTTCACTTCAGGGTATGGGAGGCCTACTGTGCTGCTTTCCATGATACCACTGTTCTGCAGCTGTTACCACTTACAATTACATCTCCTTGAAAAGAAATACTAAGCTTGACCAACTCCCTTCAGCTGCTTTTTCCCCTGCGTCAGGATGCAGCTGCCCCCTCATCTCTTTATACCTGCTCATTTAAGCACTTGGTATCTTATTTTTTCTGATTTTTAGCACTTTCAAATGTGAAAACACTGGTAAGAGTGAGGCTTATGGAGAAAAGCACCCATGAAAGTCTTTGTCTAGGTGGGGCTGTGAAAATTAGGATCCTCTTCCTTTAACCCCATCAACGTTATCTCCCACCTGCTGCTAATTTAGTAGGTGTAGGGAGGTGCTGTGTGTGGAGACATTCCAGGTGTACCTACATCTTAAAGTGCTACTGGGAGGTCTGTCTTGGAGAACACTGCTTTATGAGAGTGATGAATCTGCTCTCGATGATCATTTTGTCTCATCAGCTCCCATTCTAGGTCATTTGTCACAAATCACTGGGTGGGATATAAATGTCAGCTCTATCTGGAAAAAAAATAAGAGCCCTCTCTAATTAAGAACAACCACTGAAAGCAAGAATTAGAACTTTGCCCATTTTCATGCTGAGCAGTGCCTTCCCACCTGTTTTTCATTTGTGAGCTTGATTGCTGCAGCCTGTGTATATACAGCTTGCTCTCTCCATTCTGCTCTTCGACCTAGCTGCACACCCAAGTTCAGGGTAACTAGAGCTGCTAGTCTTCTGGTTTCTTACCCCTCTGTTTCCCTCTTCTTCTCAAGCAGATGTAAGTAGCATCCTTCCTATTTTCTAAGCTTCAAATGTCATCCCTTTCTCCCCACTTTAAAATCAGAAATGTAATGGGGTTGGGGATCCAGTGGTTGTAAGTGAGGTGGGGTTGAAAGCAAGGAATCGATGAAAGGAGTAAGAAGGGTAACACGTGACCTGAGTCATATTTTGTGGTGGTGGTGGGTTTTTTCCATTCCTGTTTGGTCTTGTGGATAATTTTCAGAGTAGCTGAGACTATTTTATGATAGGTTAGTAACTGCCCTTGATGGAAGGGAACAAAGTTCCCAAATGTGAGTCTGTGGAGAGAAAGGGGTGTTACAGCCATCCATTTGAGAAGCTGTACCTGTGTTGTACCTCTCTGTTGGCTGCTCTTGAGTTTCCATTGTACATTTGAATCGTGTTGGAGATGAGCACTCTGGAAGTGGTTTTCAAGGGTGTATCCTGTGGGGTTTAACCTCTGAACTCTGCTGTGCTGTTGCTTTTGGCTTGGAAGAGACTGATCCAGCAAAGGCATAGTCAAGAGTCTGTCATGGTTTAACCGCAGCTGGCACCATGCAGCTGCTTACTCACTCCTGTTCTGTGGTTTCTGCTTATTCATCCTGATACATACTCCACCTGCAAAGTAAAATGTGTTCATTAAGAGAAAGAAAAAGAAGACGATGACAAAGATGGCAAAATATTAATGGGCTGAAGGCTCATTCTGCATATTACAGTGATGCTGTTTGGGAAAATGACCTTTCTTTTGTCAGTACTGCTTCCCAGGGCCAGTGGAGAGAGAGTGTTAGGTTTATCTTTCCAAAACACTGTTATTTTCTTTAAGGTTGTGTTGGTGTTGTTCATTGGTTTTATTGTGGGCTTGGAGACTTTTTGTTCCTTGCTTTCTGGTAACTTCCTTCACTGTGCTTCATGCTCTAAGTGAATTTCTAGTAAGCAGTTTCTCAGTTTTGTGGCTTCCCAACATCCTGTGTTTATATAAGGGGTTTTAGATGTAGGCTTCTTCTCCGTTTTCTTTAACTTGGGTTTATTCTCCCATATCTTTCCCCTGGTAATGCATGAAAGAACTTGAGCATTTTGCTGTCTTACTGAAACAAGGTTAAAATACCTATAATTAGGTGTAATTCTACACTAAATGTTGAGAAGATTGAGGATTGAACTTAATCTGGTCTGTAACTATTAGAATCTTCTGATAAACTGGATTAAAAGTCTGCCTAGTGTTTTTGAATTGCAAATCACTGAAAAATAGGCGTATATGTGTACGTTTCCTCTCGAGAGCTCTAAGTTGCAGAAGACAGATTTGTATCTCAAATGCATTTGCTTTACTCTCTGCTAATGTTTTCTTTAACATTTAAAACTTTTCCAGGATTTTGGAAGCTGCAAGATGTTCACATCTTACAGATGCTGGTTTTACCCTTTTAGCACGGGTAAGGGTCACTTCAGAAGGTTAGAGCTTGCCTTGTTTTCATTGCTGCTGAGCAGCTGTGAATTGATGTAGTGCTGCTGGGAAGAAGTATGAGGAGCAGAAAAATAAAGTAGAAAAGGCCCAGCAGAGGAAAGGACTAAAAAGTGGTTTTATTTCTGAATTATACTTAGAGCTGCAATTTGATCTATTTTCATAGAATCATAGAATAATTTTACCATCTGTGATTGCATTTTTCACTCTTTTGTATGTTTCAATGGAATTTGTTATGCTTATCATAATTCAAAACTTGTGTTATGTATTCTAGCTAAATTTCCCCTATAAGTATAATGCATACCCTGGTGATATTTACATCCCAAGAATCACTGTGTAGTAGATTGTTCTAAGCATACCATTAAGTTACAAAAATACTTGCATTATGAACTGTAAACACTTGTGCCCTGATTCATGCTGTAAATATGTAAAGTAAGCATATTGATGTATCAAATGCTTCAAGTTAGACTTGTCTGCTTGCTGGTTTAAGACATCTGAACACTAAAATAATACTCAGTCAACAGGGTTTGTTTGCGCTGCTGATGTTTAGGGTGAATGCAGGGGCTTTTTTCTAGCCACAGTGGTAAAACAGAATGGTTTCTAATCATTCACCACTACAGACTTGGGCTTTGGCAGTCACCTCCAGCCTTCCTTTGGGAACTGCAAGTTAAACCATTCCTTCCTATGCCTGTAAAAAATGGGCTGGGGTTTGGGCTGAGCCATAGCAGCATGTGGTCTGCTGTGAGGTCACAAGGTTATGTTATGTTCTTGAAATGTGTCGTGATCAGATACTAAAAGCACTTTTACAAGAGCTTGCTGGGGTTCTCTCAGTGTATTGGGGAAATTGCTTGTATAGATGTGAAGTGCAGCTTTCTCTCGGCCTTAAAGTGGACCGTGTTTTAATATTTTCAGCATTCATTAGTAAAGCACATTGTTTTTAATGCTGCTTTATAATGTATGATGCTGAAGAGAGATGTTCCATGGGCTTAAAAGTCTGTTTCAGATGAGTTTGATGCAGGTTGGTTATCTTTAGTGCACAGATTGTAAGTACCATAGGTTTGAATTGAAGTTGATTCCAAAAGGGAAGCAGGGGTGAGTGAGTACTGGTGCATGCTGCTCAAACCTTGCAGAGCAAGGAGGAGACATTTCAGTTAGCAGGGGAAAGGCTGAAATGTAGCGGTTTGAGAGGGAAGTGATGTGTGGCTGGTGGATTTTTAATCTTTTTACCATTTTTTGTCCTTTGATGGTGATCAGATACTTGAAGGGATTTAGCTCATGGTTTCCTCTTGAAAGCTATACCACCTCTTATCACTACTCCTGTACATGTTTTTATGTCTGTATGTTGGTTTATTTCATCTTTTGTTTATCTGTTTGCTTTTTTGTTTATTTTAGAATTGCCATGAGCTGGAGAAGATGGACTTGGAAGAGTGTGTTTTGGTGAGCTTTAATATGAAAAGGAATATTGAATGTCCAGTGTAAGAATGCAGTGCATTAGCACTTTCAGCTAGATGTGCTTTGGTTTTTATTAACAGTGCTGTGTTTATGATAGTAAGTAAAAGTAGTTATTGGGAAATTCTATAGAGGGAAATACTTGAAGAGTAATAGGTGATTGGGTGTTTTCCAGAAATAACAGCACCTTCATCTGGTAGAGAGAGAGATATCTTACTTGAGGGTTGACACTCCTGCTGTCTGTTGCTTATGGTTGGTTGGTTTCTTTCATTTCTAGATAACCGACAGCACATTGATACAACTTTCTATACACTGTCCTAAGCTACAAGCATTGGTAAGTTTAACTCTTTGTTTGTGAATTGTAATGCGTTCCCCAAAACTGCACACATACACAAGTCCTGTTCACTCTGTATCCAGACAAAGTTCCTGATGTAGTATGATACTGTACAAAATATATGCATTGAATAAGTATTCTGAAGATTACTCCTAACATATTTACTTTGTGTGATAATAAAATATTACCAAATCAGTGAGTAATAACCAGAAACCTTGTATTTTTGTGGTTAACATCCTTCATATTTGATTACTTATAGTACTTGGATCCTTTATAGATACCCTTGAAGTGTTCACTAATGTTTTTCTTAGAGAGTACGACTTTGCATCAAATACTGAATAAACAAAACCACCTGGTGAAGATAAATGTAATCTGTGTGATCACTCTGGTATCAGTTTTGCATGCAGGCAGTTTTTTCCCAAGGATTACATTTACATAGTAAGTTATGAAAGGGTTTTTTTTGACCTAGACTTTGAATGGAATTGGAGAAGATTGAGATGCCTTCAGTGGGATACCCTGCTTACTTCAGAGGACTGTTTCCTAGGGAGTGCTTGCTTAGATCTTTCAGAACTTCAAACCCAATTTCAGGTGACATAAATTTGGCTGTTCTTCAGACAGGGTACTCCAAAATTGCCAGGCTGTCCTTAAAATAGGAGCCCCTGTATTTAGGCCAGTTGTGCCATAAGGGTAGACTTTTTTATATGCTACTACAGATCTACGTGAAAGAGCAAGTATCTTTATAATCTGTTCTTAGGTAGGATTAAAGGAAGATTTGCTGCTTCATTAATTAAATGGTGTTATAATTAGTGTTATGCAGTGTTACTAAGGTAGCAACATGAGGAGAGATCGCTTTTAAAAAGGAGCTTGTTCACTATTTTCTATTGATGTTGGGTTTTATTTTTGCTGATTAATTGCCTGACCTCATTTCTGTGCCATAATTCTTAATGTTAAGCCAAACAAGAGTTGGTCAGGAGATGTGGAGCCATTTATATGGGACATTTTCTGTTCTTCTGCGATGGATATGTTCTTGTATTGTAATCGCAACTGTAACCTGTATTTGCAAGAGGTCCTTTGTACCACTTGTGCCAGTGCTGCACCAGAGGTACCATCAAACTTCATAATTTCCAAGTATCTTTCAGAACCTGCCCTTGTTTGCTGCCTCTGTGTGTGTGTGCCCATGGGCAGGGGAGTGTGGCACTGGTAAAATAACACAGCTTTTCTAAGGGAACAGGGAAAACTTACTTTTTGTTGATGTGATTTTTCCCCTGTGTGTAGGAAGGATATATCCTCCAAGGCGTGAGTGAACAGTGATGGCTCAGAATTACAGGGAAAGAGAAACCAGACTTGGCAGGTGCCAAATAACCTGTGTGTACTGATGATAAGGTTCAAATATGAAATCACATATTGTTGATGGTTCTGCTAAATCTTGACTAGCTGTGCTTTGGCGTATGTTTAGGCATATTTACAGTTCAAACTAATAGTTTGGAGTTGTAGAAATCAACTTTGAATTTGGTTCTTGGTGTTTGGAGACTCAGTGGATAGTGGAAATAAGGGAAAGCACTGTTAGACCAATTATAACCAACCACTTATGGTCGTCAGTATCAGAGTACTCAAATGTTCTATTACTTAGTGGACTTAAGAAGTAATTTCTGTTGAAAATGTCTAATAATTGCACATTCAGATTACTGGAGAAACTGAAATAGTCATTACTGCAGATGAGAAGTCAATTGAATTCTTCAGTTAAGTTGATCGTATGTCACTCTCACAGTATAATAGGTATTTGATTTATACACAGCATTTAGTAAGGATTAACAAAAATAACAAAATTCTTTGGTGTGAATCCATATATTTCAAAACCTTTGAAACTTGTAAAGGTTTCAAGCAATTGTCATTGTAAAATTCCACATCATTAACACTTTCTGACAGGCTTATGAAGTCAGAAAGGTCAGGTAACATGAAGCATGTATCACTTGGCATATTTGTTTTACAAAGTTGTATGAACTCGGCTGTACATCCTGTATTGTCCTTTCAGCACCAAACACAGTGTCTCAGGAAAGCTGCTTTTATAAGCTGCTTACTTCCTGGATGGAAAACTCTTAATTAGCCAGCAGGCTGCTGCTGTAACCAAGAGCTCCACAGAACCTCCTGTCCTTCCCTGAAACAGAAGGTCTGTGTTCTTTAACCCTGCAGCTGCTGGTTGTTTCCAGGCTGTGAGCCAAATCAAATGCTGAGAGCACGTACACAAAGGAAGTTAAACCTGGAGTATTTAGAGAATTGATGGACTTGCAGAACGTGAACAAGTTGTAAGTTAGAGCAGCGCTGACTTGCATCATTATGGGATACAGCATGCACTGGTTGTGGCGTTGCTTGGAGTTGCTGCCAGCTGCTCAGGCTTGTGGAGTTGGTTACACTGGACCTGCTGGAGCTGCTGGGGGCTCCCCATCAGGCTTGGGCATGCTGCAGACCTCTCTCAAGTCTCTTCTCTGGTTACTTGTTCATCCCGTTGAGAGAAGGAGGAAAAGCTGAGGGGCAAGTTATTCTAAAGGACAGGACAGGGCAGGGCAGGACAGACCTGTGTGTGGCAGCGGGCAGGAAATGCTCGTGACTTCAGCTGAGGTAAAATAAGGGTAGGATTGGTAATGCTCAGGCTTCCTTGTCAGGCGGAAATAAAAGATACGTGTGTTGTACTGAGAGAAAGGAAGGAGTACATGTTTGGTTCAGATGATTAGCAAGAGGTTTGCTTGCTCCGAGTTAAAAAGTGCTTTTGGATTGCTGCAAGTGTTTCTTCATCAGCTGCCATCTGAAAAAACACTGGTGGCAAGGCAGAAAACAGCCCCCGTTAGGCTTAGGTACAAGTATGGGCTGAGCATGAAGCAAGGAGCTTAGTGCAGAGCCTAGGGCAAGAGGACTATAGTTCATAGATCCTGCGTGTTCCTAGTGCAGAAGACTTGAGAGCATTCATTTCACTGGTGGCATAGTGCTTGTTAAGCCTCCTCTGAGGAAAGTCTGTTTTCTGTTGTTTTCATCATCAGACTTCTCCAAAAGTCATGAATTTCCTGAAGGACCCAGGAAACTGCTTTGTGTGGTGCTGCTGCCCAAGGTGCTGCAGCCTTCCCCATTCTCTTGAAATTCAAGGGAGTAAAATAACATGCTGAAGAGGAGAAGGATGTTTTGGTTTATTATGCTGATGGCTGTAGAAAGGCCTTGCTTCTGCAGCTGTACAAGATGTTTATTGCTCCCTGTACATACAGCCTGAAGCACTGAGTGCTCACGTTGTTTTTGAAATCAGTTAGGCAAATCAGTCCAGTTTGATTGTTCTTTATCTCCACGGACTTGCATAGGCTTGGTCCCGGTGCTATGTATGAAAATGTGGTAGCTTGTGAAGCACTAACTCGTGTGGCAGATCCTCGCCTGTTCCTGCATGTCCTTGAGCATCTCTTGAATACTGTCTCCTGTTTTCAGGCACAGCACATGCGCTGTTTGTGTACAATAGCAGAGGTGCCCGACAGTTGGACCAGAATTCCTCCATTCACGTAGAACAAAGGGGCCCGAGGAGTTCTGCCAGTGGGCTGCGTTTTGGGGTTCTACTCATGTTGAAGCCAAGTTAAACACAAAGCACAGCCCTTTGGTGGAGCAGAGCTGTTTCTTGCTTGCTCTTCTGGATTTCAGCTCTCTGTACTATTTGTAACTGTTCAAACCACTAGAATGAAGTAGGTTGAAGAGTTCTGATGGTTGGAGGACAGAGTAACTTGGCCTGAGCAATGTGTTAACTGTTTGCCTCTCTCTCTTTTAGAGCTTATCTCACTGTGAACTGATCACCGATGATGGGATTCTGCATCTGAGCAACAGTACTTGTGGTCATGAGAGGCTGCAGGTCCTGGAGCTTGATAACTGCCTCCTCATCACTGATGTGACGCTGGAGCACCTGGAGAACTGCCACAACTTGGAGAGAATTGAGCTGTATGACTGCCAGCAAGTGACACGAGCTGGAATCAAGCGGATCAGAGTACGTGTTCGCTGACTTGTGCCCGGTAGGAATGAGCTGCTGATGCTGCTTGAGGCTGTGTGAATCCTGCGCAAGTTCCGGGCAAGGGAGGATGGACAGAGTCTGAATATGGTTCTGTTAGTGCCTCACCTCTAGGATCTAGATGGAGCTTTTCTATATGAGTAATAATAATTGCTTAACTGTTTGTAGCACATGACACTTTGCTGTTGGAATGATGAGTGCCTTATCTTCTGCTTTCTGTATTAGTATTTCAGAGACAGGCTTCTATGTTTTCTAGATTGTGTAGCAGCATTAACTCCTAAAATGTAAGTTAATGTATAGTGCCAATAGCAAAACAGCTGCATGGAGATGAAGAGACTATATGGCTGTTATGCCCTCAAGTCCAGACACAAACCTTTCCTCTGTTTACCTGCCCTGGGGGAGCAGTGGTTTAGCCTTGCTGTTATACTTGTCTGCAGCTTCATCTCCCAGATTCACCTTTGCAATTGGAAAGCTCCCTGACAGTGACTACTGAGGGCATATACCCAGTTCTATTCCATGCTGCTTCCTAGGATGAGAGAAGGAGGGAATAGGGGAGACAGGATACAGTAGCTTCAGTAGCCAGCATCCCCTCTCCCCTGCAGCAGAACACGTGTCTGGCTTGATAGAGGTCTCTGGGCTGAGCCATGCCTTGTTGGGAAGTGGGAACACTGCGCAGGTGAGAGCCCAGTCCTAGCATGCCTTAGCTGGATGGGACAGGAGAATTACAACAGCTTGGACCGTATCCAGTGTACAGATGCTTCCTTTTTAGCTAACCTGAGAGCCCGGGTGTTGGCAGCAGTTGAGGTATGCTGCTGCTTTTCACTAGTTGTGTTTCTTTGTCTCCCATTGTTAATGCAGACTTTTCACCCGCAGGCTCATCTACCTCATGTGAAAGTCCACGCTTACTTTGCTCCAGTAACTCCCCCGCCATCAGTAGGAGGGAGCGGACAGCGCCTCTGCAGATGCTGTATCATTCTCTGACAGTAAGTGCAACCACACAGCAGATTTCATTGTTGATGTTGAAGAGAATGGGACTGCAAGGCAGTGGAAGGAGTTGGTTTCCTGACAGTCCTAACAGTGGTGTTTGGTCATCCAGTTTTGTGACAAGAAAAGCGTTTTTTTTCCAGGTAAAACTCTTACCATAATGTGCAGCTGTGGATTAAGTTGGTGATGCTTCAGTTTGTATTAGCAACTCCTTCCTTCTGTTGGCATGAGAACTGAAATGCTGTGTAAAACGTGCAGGCCTTTCAGCTTAGCAGTTACTTGGTGGAAGTTCACTAAACTTGGAAGTTAATTTGCATTTGTAAGCACTTCTCGGTGTGAAGTTGTGTAACCTGACGTGGGGCTCAAGCCTGTTTCACCACAGAACCGAACCTGCTGTTCTGTAACATGTATGACAGATTAAGCACCGGGTTTAAAGACAAATCAGCTTTAGCAGATGTTGACCAAAAACCGCAAGGTAATCATGAGCTCTTGCAGCCAAACAGCTTATACCTTTTCATGAGTCAGCTTTGTATTTAATTACACACGGGGACACAATAGGTAATGTCAAAGGTAAGGTAGTACCTCTAGGTAACTGTATAAATAGAGATACTTCCCAAGTTTCTGAGCTTGGTTAAGTTGGTGTAAAGCTTGCCTGTCACTGAAGCATGTTTTACACCCAGTGCCATCAGCCTTTACACGGGGAGAGCAACCTGCTGTGGGTGGAGCTGAGTGGCTGCTGCAGCCACATGGTGCTTCCTGCAGCACTGCTCCTGCTGTCCTTACTTACCTCCTTGGGCTGTAAGGGAAAGATGCTGCTGTTCTAGAAGAGAGGGTACTCATGCTTTGCTACAGCTGAAGAATGGAAGCCAGGTTCAGTTATGGGAACTATGACTGGATGGAGTAAGGAATTCCAGCTGTTTGTCACACCTGGTCTTGGGGCACAGCAAGCCGATGGGCAGATAAAGCTGTAGGCAGGAGTTGAACCAAACCTGTGGTTTTCAAATGTAGAAAGCCAAACTCTTCACATCTGGGTTACTTGAGAAGCTGTCAACATCTGAATTACAAGAATAGTAACATTCTGTGTATTGACTCTTAAGGCCATCCTTAGTTCTTCAGTGCTAGAGGATTAGATGAACTTTTTTATCTTAAGCAACTTAATGATCTGAGAAACTACTCAACAGAGTTCAGAAAGAAACCTTTTTTGTGTAAGATTGATTGTGTGTGTGTGTATGTCTTAAAGAGTTCAGGGCCTGTGTGTTTACTGAAGATTAATAGAAGTAGTGGCTTAAAAAGCAGTTGGAGAAGCTACTTCTGGGTAGTACTGCAATTCCCCCACATATTTAAAGCTACTTTTTAAAAGAAGTGTGAATGTGTTTCAGATAAGGACAGTAACTGGAAGCCTCAGCTTTGAGGTTAAGTTACAGGTTAGAGTGCAGCAGTACATGGATTACTACTACAAAATAAGGTGGTCAGAGCTTGTTTTACACAGCAGTGGTGGAGTGCTGCTTGTTACCATCATGCTTCAAGTTCCATTAGGATACATCCTGCTGTAACAGAGAGTTTTAAGCAGATTTTCTTGTCACCTGTACCACGAAGGTCACCAGTACCAGTACGTCAAGTTGTAATGCCCTTTGTTGGCTCATCTTTTTTTCTAAGATCATAATGACCCCTGTAAGTCTATTGCATTTAAGATGTACAAACCCAAACGGAATCTACTCTGGTATAAGCCACTTAAATAAACAATCAGCTGATGTCATTTGAATTTGTTTCAATCATTTCAAATGTAACTAACTCAGTTTTGTATCAGAAATAGAATATCAATGTATGTGTGTCAGGTGCAGGATAAGCTACCAGGCTGGTTTGCTTCTGTGAGTACCTTTACCCACTGTTACCACTAGGGCAGGTCTTGCAGCTCATCTGAACACCAGAAGCATCTTGAATGGGGAAGTAAAGGAAAAGAAAAGCACGTTTACAAAATTATTGAAAAACATTTATTATACTTAAATTGAAATGTGTACATCTCATTAAAAAACAAAAGCAATTTGCTGGTGCCATAATTTAATTCCAATTTGAAGTGCACAATGGTCTTGAAAATCAGATATTGGGATACTTTCCAATCAAGGATTTTTCCGCTTCTATAAAACATTTGGATTTGAATAGGGTGGGAGCTGAAAAGATGGTGTCAGTTCAAGAAAATGCTAGGACCAAACAATACCCAAAATGAACAACTTAACTTATAGGAAGTACATAAAATGTTACTTTCAGTGCAGAAAAAAGTAAGGACAGGAAAAACCCAAACCCCTCTAGCTTGGATGAACGTAAAGTTTCAGAACGCTACAGCTTTAGGAAGCTTTTCTGCTGAAGCACTTGAGCCAGTTACAGAAGAGGGAATGCCAAAATCAACGTTGCTTTTTTACACGCGGTGGCGGCTGCTCACACTGAACGCTGCAGCATAAAAAGCAAAACTGTTCCTAAGCATTTAAGCCGGAGATCACGGCGGAGCTTTCCAGAGGCACAAAATGACCGCGACACGAAGTCATTCAGTCCCTGTGGAGAAGTTCCTCTCCAAGTACCGAACCAGCTGCAACTGAATGCTAGCATGGGAAACGCTGTGTCACGTCGTCACAAGAGAGAGCTAGCCCAAAATAGCGAGAAAGCACGATTCCTGGCTGAAAGAAAAGTTATTTGGTCATACGGCAGAGGCACTGTAATGTAACAGCGGTTCAGCGCGGCTCCCAGGGCAAAGACAGGGCAACAGAACAGGTAAGACACTACTTGTCCATAACAGCCACTAGAGCAAGGCCTTTCCCTGCTGGGAAGGAGAGTTACATGGAGCAGGTTTAGTATTTCTTAAGCAGTGTATGTGATGCTGCTGAAAGCTGCGCCAGCCCCGTGGTGCCTGTGGCTCCTCTTCCCTCATCAGCACAATTCCAGTGAGTCAGACACGTCCACCTCTCGCGGCCGGTATTTTAAACCCCACAATTTCACAAGCAAAGAGTTAAACTGCAGCAGTGCTCCGCAGAGAACCTAAGAAACTAAACATAAAGGATGCATAGGCAAGTCTTTTCCATTAAATCCGTTAAAGCAAAACACAATTACTTGGTACCTCATAGGATTTATATTAATCCCTCCAATAAGGTACTACTGATAATGCAGTTTGCTGCATGCATATATTGCATCTGTCTAGGGCTTCTTAAAAGCCCTCTTCTGGCATTTACACTTCTTACATACACTCTTATACACAATTTACACGGGAAGCTGTTTTGACAGCTTGACTCTCAAAGACCCAACAACCTGATCACTATCAGCTTAACTACTCATCTCCACACAGATTAGCATGTGCTCTGCTAACATCAAAAAATAAAACCAGCATCAGGTACAAGCACAGAATAGACAAACTGGCACAGAAAGGTAAATGCCCCAAAATAAGTTTACATTCATCTCCGACTGGATACAGGTAATAGAAAACGCTTCTAAAAGCTGTATCTACTGGCCATAATTTGCCTTATTTCAGGGAAGGGCAAGCACCTTTGCTTACATTGTCTTTCATGCCTGTACGTAAGCTGTCATGGCCGTTATACCTCTCATGAGGACACTTAGCTATGGCAGTGATAAGAAAGTTCACCTATCAAACAGCTCATTAGAAAGGTCATTTTGTGTTTTCAATATGAAACATCTTATACAGTAATGTTAGATCCTAAGGTTTTGGATGATCTTTGTAATCTTTAGGCAGGACTTCATTCTGCGGTGGAGTATCAGTCTAGCAGTTGTGTGACATCATCACTTCAGAATTATATGGAAGCCTTCACCATTTTCAGCTGAAAAAGAAGTTGTTAGAATCATAAATAGAATAACCATAAATGCACCAGCCAAAGCCCCAGATCAGCAAAGCATGGGCTTAGGTTTTACCGTGTAGAAGTGGTTCACTTCAGTGTAGTGGTATTTCATTACTACTATGAAATAGTAAAGTCAAAACATGCTAAGTACCAGGAGCTTGCTATTCACACTAAACACCTGAAGAATAACTTCTTAAAAACCCTGCAGTTTTTAAGTCTGCAGTTATTTCTGAACACTTCTTACCACGTATTAAAGCCATCTCACCTGTGACACTTACTGTGACAAAATGACGTTAACTACTGCAAGAGCAATCAAAAACCTTAGTGTATACTTTCAGTCATTGATTTTGTGATGCTCAGCCTTAAAACTAGAAAAGCAAAAGCCCCTGTGGCTTTATGGTTAGAATTGAGCAGTACCATCAGAAGGCTTCACGACCGAGACAAATGGGTCTGTAACAGTCACTGAACAGATTTTATGCTACACAAACTATACACAACCATTTCAGTCTCAGAATTTCAAGCTACGAGGCTGAGTGAAGCAGCTTTAAAAATACAGCTCATCTAGAGGAGAAAACAAGGCTTTTCCTACTTCTGCTGAACAAAAATGTTGTGATTAACAAGTTGTAACTGAGTCTTCAAAGCTGGGGCAGTTTCTGGCCAATTCTCTGTGCACTGAAACTTGCACAGAGCCAAACTCAGCCACAGATTACAGCAATTTATTGGCACCTTTTCCCAGAACTACACTAAGGAAGGGTGGGATTCATCTGAAGCCCCAGTGTTTAAATAGGAAACCCAAATGACCAAAGTTGACTGCAGGTACAATTAAAGTGATTCCACCCCTCTGACCACATGGGGGTTTCTGCCATTTCTGCTGGAAGCAGATCTTGGTGTGTTTGCACATCAGCCTTCTCTGTGTCTGCCCTTCCTCTGCCTGGGGAGTTTCCTGGACCGGCGTTCTGCTCTAAAGGCAGCTCCTTGATAGACTGCACGGTTGTGTTTTTGACTGTACCTTTTATTGTGGTGAATAAGAAACAACTCTCATCTTGAAAGTTCTGAACCATCTACAAAAGACAAGAGAAGTGTTAAAAACCTGATCTCATGCATAAATAAAATGTCAAGGAAATGTAATTTCCATTACCTGATCATTAACAAGAATGTGGATGCCTGTGGGACCCTGTCTGTAAACCTGGTTGATCTGATGCAAAGGAATATTGAATGCCAAAGCAAGCTTGCGTGTGACTTCCGAGGCTGCCATTTCTTCCAAGTAGATTGCATGATAAACTGCAAGAAAAAAGGAGGATTTACATCAGCATGGCACTATCTGGTAACAAGGAACTTTGTGGAAAAATCAGGTGAATTTGTTCATAACAGCATTAAAACATTTTAAAAGCTAAAAATCTTTATTCTCACTCTGTTCTCACCAAGAAGCATGAACTGCCATGACCTGGCTTTCAAGGTGAAGCCGTAAGGACAACTTTCTGACAAGGCTTCCGTTTGCTCTGGTACCAAAGGCAGATTCCACGTATCACATCAACCAGGTCAGTGGGTCTTTAGGGACCACTGCCATATCGCCAGGTAATACAAGTGACTTACACCACCATGCTGCTGCTCGAAGTAAGGATGGAGGTGCTTTTGGTTTGGTTGGTTTGTTACGTGGCAAAGAGAGCCTTTCTCAGCCGCCTCAATGTATTTCCTACAGATCATCTCAGAGCTAAAGGATGGCAGCAGGAAAATACAACAGTAAAGGGAACAGTAAGACAAAGCACCTGGTCAGTTTGATGCTGTATTTACAGTTCTACAGTTTAACAGTGCTAGAGGCCCTCAGCAGCTCCATGTTTGCGCATTCTTCCACCCCAAACCAGAGAGTGAAGATGGGAAACAGATTTTCCAGAGGGAATACATGCAATTTGACAGAAACAGAATCCTCTATGGATCCTCCTCCACCTCAGTTCTTGCACGGAAAATATACAACTACTGTAATGGCAGCAGCCTGTGCAGAGTTTGACTGGCTGGGGAGTGATGGCTCTTCACTCAAAGCCAAGAGCAAGAAAAGAATGATTTCAAATAACTCCATTCTCTTAAATGTAGGATTGTCAGGATTTTACAATTAAACATTATCTTCTGGTCTGTGTTGAAACAACAGCCATTTATAATACTGAAACTGTTGGCCTGTACACTGCTTGGCTGGTTTTCCTTGTCCAAGCTCTACCAGTTTTAGTTCAGGTGCACAGAAAATGGGAAAGAACTGAAGTGTTTAATTTGCACATAGCTTTTTCACGCACCTCCATTTGTCTGGTTAATACCTTGTCTGGAACTCCTTCATTAGCATGTAACTGCTGGTTTCAGTGGACTGAAGGAGAATCAACCATTTAAGCTGGAGAGGTTTTAAGGTTCTGTTCACCCTGAGTGTTACAACAGCAGTGCTACACCTTCCTACGTTTTCCCTGTGTGCCAGACACAGGAATTCAGCCTCTCCACTAGTACTCTTACTTCTTTCTTCCCATTTCTCTTGTTTTAGGTGTTTTAAGACACAGGAATGGTGCTAAGGGAGCCCAGATGTGACGTACCATATATTGCACCGTTGCTGCTGTCACCATTGCCTGCATCTTGTCTTTCCAGTTGTAGGCTCCTCAATGGCTCCTGACAAACATAGATTGTTAGACGGGGCCTAACAGACCTGCAATTGGAAGAAACCACACATCAGAGGGAAGGTTACAGGAAATGCTGTGCCACAAAGGCAGATCTGCTGTGCTCACAGTTCACTTGCAGGGTTTTCTTTAACTGATCAAAAAGCCAACAGGGAACGCAACAGTGAGCGCTGTCTGGATGCTGCTGCCTGTTGTAATCCTGGAACATAACTACTGAGTAACAATGGCAATTCTTGCAAAGGTCAGTGGTAACAAACACCCTTTCTGAATCA